TATAAATTAATTAATTATTTATTGATCTGTGAATTAATGACAAACAAAATTCACGGCTATTATTATTATCATTATTATTATTATTGATTAAGTTACGTATTAACATTGATTTTGTTTTATACTCTCGTGCACGCACACACATACGCGTTAATTTTTAATAATAATAATAATAATAATTAATCATTCATTACGAAATTAATTAGAGTTTAAAGTATGTTCGAAACGACCCCCAAAGCAGGAAGTTCAAGTAAAAACTATTAAAAAAAAAAGAAAAGAAAATTTATGCAATTTTTTTTCACATAACATACTATAAACGTGCCCATTTTTTTTTTACGTGGCAGTAGAAAATTTTTTAAAAAACTATACGATTCGTTCGAATTATTATTATTATTATTATTATTATTATTACCTATTTAATAATTATTATAACTATTACTCAATTCGACCGTGTAGTAACGTACGAATTTATTAATAAATACTTACACGTAAGCTAAACATTTAAAAATTTTCGTAAACAAAAAATTTGTTGTTTTTTTTTCTTTTGGGGGGAAATTTCCATAAAAATAAAACCTTTTCGTCGTCGCCGACGGGGGTGGTGGTGGGAGTGGGAAAGGAGGTGAGTGGGGGGGGGTCAGGTTCTAAAAAAAAAGTACATAAAAAATTATTTATTTTTAACTTTTTCATCGACTACTTTTCTTTTTTTTTCTTAATTTGTGTAAAAGTAGGCGTTAAAAAAAAAAAAAAAAAAAAAACTGGATTAACTGAATGCATAAATAAGAAAACATTAGGAGTGAAATTTTAACGTGAGATTAGCAATTATTGGATTTTTAATAAAATAATAATAATAATAAAAATTTCCACAGATTTTTTTTTAAACAAACAAACAAACAAGCAAACAAACGTCACTCACGTGTAAAAACGGTGAGTAAATAAATAAAACTTTCGCACATTTTATATTATTATTTTGTTTGTTTGTTTGTTATCATGTAATATTTTTAACGATTGATAAATAATGATGATAAATCATTATTATTATTATTATTATTATTATTATTATTATTATATTAAGGGTAATAAAAAATACACGTCGGAGTAATAAAATAAAAAAAATAAAATAAAAGAACGCGTGATGAAATATTATTTCGTTAAAAAAAAAAAAGCGTAATAATAATATTTATTACGATTCAATTAAAAAAAATAATAATAATGATGATGGTAATGATGATTTATTAAAGTAATAAAAATTATATAATAATAATAGTAATAATACGTGTTGAACACGTGGTTAATAATTTTTTTTTTCTTTTATTATTATTATATCGATTTGAATTTTGTTAATTTTAAAAGGTTTTAAAATGAATAATATTGTCGTCGTCGTCGTCGTCGTTGTCGTCTGCTTTTATATTTTGTTTGTTTTTAGATTTATATATATTTTAGAGTATAAAAAAAAAAAAAAAAAAAAACTCTCGAAAACCGGTCGTTATTAAATTAGAAAAATTATTTTTTGTTTTTAAACAAAAAAAGAATTTTAAATTAACGATTTTATTTTTTTTCTTTCTGATAAGTAAAAAATATTTTCCACGTGTGTGATAACAATTGATCGGGGTTAGGGGGGGGTGAGGGGGTGGAGGGAGGTTCGTCGTCAATTAATAATAATAATAAATATATCATTATTATTATCATCATCATCATCATCATTCACGAATGAATAAACGAAGGAAAAAAAAATTTTTTAAAACTTTCACAATTTTTCTTTTTTTTTTTGTTTAACGAAGTGAATGAAAGAGAACCTGTGAGAATAATCATTATTATCATTATCATTATTATTATTATTTTTTTAACGAGTGACGTCATTAAATATAATTTTATTGGTCAATAAAAAAAAACTTATTTCACTTTGTAAAAATAAACAAAAAAAATTATTTTTCTTTTTTTCTTTTTTTAATTATAATTTACACTCGTAAGGAAATTTTTATTATTATTATCATCATCATCATCATCATCATTATTATTATTATTATTATTATTATTACGCGCACTCACATACTTTTATTTAAATGTATAATCCGTGGTAAAAAAGTGACTTTCACAATTTTTATTTAAAAAAAAAAAAAAAAAAGTTTTTTATATAATTGTTGTTTTTTTTTTTTTTAAAGTTAACGGATAACGTTCGAGAGTTTTTATCTTATAACGAAGGGAAAACTTTCTTAAATAGAATTAAATGGCGTTACGCCAAAACTATTTTATCAAAACTTTAATCGATACCTAGATAAACAGGTATCACACACACGAAACTACAAATACTACCTGAAATTAACGACGTAATAATAAATTTTTTTTTGAGGAAGTTAATATAATTTAATTTTTCCCCATTTTTTTATTAAACGAAAGAGAAAATAATAATGATAATAAAAAATCGATAGATCGATCGATCATCGCAATCGTCGTGTAACTAGAAAAAAAAAATTAACATTATTATTAATTATTTGTGTTAATTAAGAAAACAAACCCTAAAGCCACGATGACGACGACGACGACGACGATATCAACTTTTTCTTTTTTCTTTTTAACATCATTTGGAAAAATACAGTAAAAGTAATAATAATAATAATAATAATATTTTGAAGAGCAGAAAACGGCCTTAACACTTTGGAAAATTATTACAAAATAAAAATTATTATTATTATTACAAACAAACAAACAAACAAATCATTAATACCTGGAAAATTTTTTTATTTTGTTTATCGTTTTGGAAAAAATTAATTTTCAGGTATGAATTCAGGATCGTTTTATCGATATATTAAAAATGATTTCCATTCTCTCCCCTCCCTCCCCCCTCCCGAAAAAAAATTCAATTCAATGGCGTTATTATTATTATTATTATTTATGAGTTACATAAGAGTCAAAAAGAGAATTAGTCATTTGTTCATGTTTTCATTTTTTCAGGTTAAGTGAAAGCAAAAGCAACGACGTTAAGTGAAAGACATGATTTTTTTTTTACCGTAACGTCAATTTTAATAATTAATAATAATAACAATAATAATAATAATAATGATATCGATGAGGTACACATAATGAAATTTTTTGATAATCAGGTACTGAAAAATATAAAACATATCATCGTTAATTGTGTGTGATGATAATTTTTTACATTAGTTTCCTGTAGTGGTATCAGCTTAACATCGATCATCACGTTTTTTTTTATTTATTGTTTCGCTTATGTAAATATTTAAATATTGATGTTTCGATTACTTAAACGTTTATTTAAATAATAATAATTTGATGACGTCATAAAAGTATTTTCGAAAAGTACCTGTTGTAAGTACGCAAAAAAAAAAAAAAAAAAAGAAAATTGTCGGTAGTAAGTTTGTGATAAGTGATAAGTACCGAATTTGTAATTTTTTAAATTGTTTATAAATAAATTTAATAAACGAGTTTATTACGAGTATTATTATTATTATTATTATTATTATTATTATTATTATTATTATTAAAACATCGTCTGCTGTTGTAACAAATTTTAAAGTCCGATTCGCAAATTTTGCAAGTCAATATAAATATAATTTTTGTTTTTTTTTTTCCCAAAAAAATCGTGTCATTAAGTCACCAAAATTGATGTGGCCCCTCATAAAATATTATTATTATTATTATTATTATTATTATTATTGATAATGTTTGCAAAATAAAATAAAAGGTCATTAGGTTATTGACATTATCGGATAATTATGCGAAAATTTTTGATCACCTTGATCATATTTGCAAAATTTTTTTTATTAATTTCGTAATTTTTTCGGTTACAGGAGATGCGTCTTATCAGACGAACAAAATGGCGGTTCATCGTAGGGCTATTATCATTAGCATTTACGATAAAAATAAGTCAATGCGCTGAAATATTAATGATAACAATGGGAGGAACGAAAAGTCACAAAATACCTTTTTTAGGTAAGGTTATTTATGACGTCACGTTTTTTCTTTTTTTCCGATCACATGTTCATCATTGTTGTTATCAATACGTTACAGAACTTGGTAAAGGTCTTTACGGAAGAGGTCACAACATAACCTTTATCAATCCTTTTCCTCCGGTTCGACCTGTGGAAGGTATTTTAGAAATAACACCACCCGGATTAGTTTTCTACGTTCGTAATTACACAAATTGGGATTTATTAGGATCGAGATTAAGAGGAGAGGAACCATTATCACCATCCGATATATTTCGTTACGGTTTTCAGGTACGTTTTTTTTTATTCAATATGGTATGCAATAAAGGAAAGAAGAAAGTCTCGTTATATATATATATACGGTGATAAACTCAGGTACGATTCGTGATTTCATCCACGGTCAAGGTCGGGTTAAAACTGGTTCTAATAACGAACCAACTTTTCCTTTCTCTCTCTCTCTCTCTCTCTCTTTAAGTAGTTATTGCATTGTGTGTGTGTGAGGAGGTTAATAAATTTGACTTCCTTAATAATAATAATAATATCGTACGTTAAAATTTTCTCTTTCTTTTTTTTTTTTTCCTCTTATTTAAAAATCTCAGGAATTTTTGTCGTGAAACCATAATAATAATAATAATAAAATTCGTTTAAAAATTTTATTTTAAGGATTCGTTTTTCAGACGATTTTTAAATATAAATTTTCACAATGTTTGTATTCGCGAAGTGAAAGTTAGGCCATTTTTCTTTTTTTTTTTACAATGTACTTAATATCTCGAGTGTTTTAAATAATCATTTGCAAACCATTCGACCGTTAAAAAAAAAACGTTAATTTATATATTTTAAAAAAAAAACAGAAAACGTGTATTTACCCTCCATTTAAAAAAAAAAAAAATTTATTTTATATGTTTAGCTTACCCGAAATTTAAATCCTCATACATTAACGGTAAATTTTAAATTTGTTTCGTTTTTTTATATCAATCAATAATTTTTAATGATAATAATAATAATAATGATGATGTTGATGATAATAATAATGATAATAATAATGATAATGATAATGATAATGATAATGATAATAATAATATTTAAATAATCGCAGTAATAAAAACAAGTTATAATAAAAATAAAAAAAATAAATTTATTGAGGTTGCGTATTACTTTTACAAAAAAAAATTTCGAATTTAACGTACAAACTTAAATTCATCTTAATCGATAACGTATTTATACAAACAACAACCACAACAACAACAACAACAACAACCCGAGGTAATAAATTTAAACGAAATCATGTCAATAAATTTTTTTTATTTATGTCTCAAAAAAAAAAAAACGTAAGAAAAATCACGAGGACGTGAATAATAAAAACATCACATTCGTTAATCTACTTATTACTTTTCCATCCAATAGTATCCGCCATATTGAAAACCGTTATCAACCACCCTTTTTAATATTATTATTATTATTATTATTATTTTAATTCGCTAATTTTTTTTTTTTTAAATTTAATTAAAGTTAAAACCGAATAAAAAAGAAAAAAAGGTTGCTTATTAATATAATTTTAATACCTTAAATACCTTTAATATCTTAAATAAATTACGTAATAAATTATTATTATCATCATCATTATCATCTCGAGTAAAAAAGAAAAACGTTTCGCCGTTTGTTGTATTTGTAATAATAATAATAATAATAATTGCGATTTAAATAATTATGTAAAAATATAAATAGATATTGTAATGCGAGTTACGAATGAAAACAATTGTTTATTATTATTATTATTATTATTATTATTTACAATTTTGAACATGGCAAGCTTTTAAATACTTGTATTATTATTACTATTATTATTATTATTATTATTATTATTATTATTATTATTATTATTATCATCGGTAGAAATTTCTACGCGATTTTATAACGTTTTTTGTGTCTTTTGACCAATGACGATTAAATTAACCGCGTACTCACAGGTATAGGTATAAAAACAATGATGATGATGATGATTATTAAATTCTTTTGTTATTAAGGTAAAAGTTTCGAAAAGAATCACTTTAATAATTTATTAATAATAATAATAATAATAAATAAAAAAATGGAAGAGTTTAATAATAAAATTTTTTTTGGGTATACCTAAAACGTTACGTAAGAACGAAGGTATCGAAGGGAAAAAGGGTTTTTTTTTTTTTACTATTACGTAAAAATTATTATTATTATTATTAGTAAAAAAAAGGGTTTTTTTTGCGTAATATTTTTAAAGTGTACCTTCGGGTTAAAAAATTTTTTTGTTTTTCTTACAGGTTTGCGATCATTTCCTTAGAGATTTTGAAACGCGTCAATTATTAAATTCCGGAAATAAATATGATTTAATGATTATGGATGGAGCATTTCCGGAATGTGCCTTAGGTCTTGCATATCATTTTAAAGTGCCATACATGTACATAAACACGGTTGGACTTTACATGGGGTAAGTGCGCGTGTTAATTAATTAATTAACTGCGGATTTCGTTAATTTATTAATTAAAAAAAAAAAAAATTTTCTTTTGTTTGTTTTTTCAGATCGATTTCAGCTTCCGGTAGTCCTGTACCATGGTCGATGACGCCATTTTTCGCACGTTCATTTACAGACGACATGACGATAATCGACAGAATTAAAAACGTCGGATTTTTATCCCTCCTCACCTTTCTTCATTATTTATCGACGAAATTATTCGTACAGAACGTCGTGAGAGCACATTTGGGTAATTCCGTACCTGATTTATTCGAAATGACGTCAAATGTTAGTTTCGTAATACAAATCGGTCACCATAGCGTCACGTATCCGAGACCGTTTCTTCCAAATATATTAGAAGCCGGTTGCATACATTGCAAACCACCTAAACCTTTACCAAAGGTAATAAAAAAATTTTTTTTCCTCGAACTTTCCTTTTTAATTTTTCCATTGAATTTTCTTCTTTTTTTTTTTTTTTTTTTTTTTTTCCTTTGTAGGATTTGGAAGATTTTATAAATATCGGTGGAGATCGTGGTTTTATATTAATGAGCATGGGTTCATCAGTTCAAACTTTTAACTTTCCCGAATATTTAAGACTTTTATTCATACAAGTTTTTGCACAGCTTCCTTATCAGGTTTTATGGAAGTGGGATGAAGATAACATGTCTGATCTACCTAAAAATGTTAAACTTAGCCGATGGTTACCGCAACAGGATTTATTAGGTAATAATAATAATAATAATAATAATTACGTCAGTTTTTGGGGAAATCCCCAAATTTAAGCTTACGTATAAAACTAGATTTTCTTTTACCACCACCACCACCACCCTCCAGGTATTATATTATTACGTAATAAATTTGTAATTAATTATCGATTTAATCGAATTAATAAAAACCTTTCGAGATATATCGTTCGATATTTTTTTCTCGCGATATTTAATTTTTTTAAAATGAAGTTATAAGTGGAAAAGAAAGTGAAAAGTTGTACACTTTACTTCTTTTTTTTAAAAAAAATCTAGTACTTGTCTGATTTCATTTCACCCGAGAGTGAGAGAGAGGGGGAGGGGAAAGGGGGGGGAAGTAAGACAACATGATATATAGCTTGGAGAAATTATGAAAAAAAAAAAAAATTTGTTTTAGGACATCCGAAAATCCGAGCGTTCGTAACGCATGGCGGTTTGTTATCAATGTTGGAAACAGTTTTTCACGGTGTACCCATAATAACGATGCCAGTTTTTTGCGATCACGAAGGAGATGCTAGAAAAGCAGAATTGGACGGTTATGCAATTAAATTAGAAGTCGGTGAATTGACGCCGGAAAAATTATTAAGAGCGTTAAAAATGATAATACAAGATCCAAAGTACAAAGAAAATGCGAGGGAAAGATCGATTTATCTAAGGGACGTACCTTCGTCTCCCCTTAGAACGGCCCTGTACTGGACCGAATATGTATTACGTCACAAGGGTGCATCACATTTGAAATCGCCATCGAGAAATCTTAGCGTGATACAATATTACCTAATTGATGTGATTTTTATTTATTTAATAACGGTTCTAACGTTTTTTTGTTTTCTTTTTACGTTTTGTAAATATTTTATAAAATTTTTACATTGTTTAAATTTTAAAAATATCTTTTTAGACTGTACGAAAGAAAAAGTAAAAGTCGGATGACGTTTTTAACAACAAAACAAAATTTTTTTTAAATAAATAAAATAAACAATTTATTACAACAAATAAATAAATAAATAATTTAAACGAGACGAGTGAAATCAAAATATTGAGAAATCGTATGTATTATATTTGTTGTTGTTGTTTGTTTGTTTGTTTGTCACCGTCAATATTATTTATTGTAAATAATAATAATAATAATAATTAGAACAACAATAATTTGTTTATGTAATTTTATTTTAGATTCCGAATCGGAAAAAATATTCAAATGCGAATAAGACGACGATATTGTTAAATTAAATTATTTTTCGGATAAATGTTGGGGGTGGGGGTGGAATTGGGGGGTAGATGAAAATTACGTAATAAATATGTCGATTATAATGTTTCAGGTTTGAATATTTGTTTCTCTCTCACACAATTATTAATTTATGTACCCGAAATTCGTGTGACCCAATTCGTGGGTTGTCGTTTTATCCGTTGGATTGTCAATTTTTTTACTCGTAGCAGACGACGTCGGAGTTATGGGTAGAGAATTTTTTTCCTTGTAATATAATCCCACGCCTCCGCTCACGACACCAGCACCAAAAAGTGTTATAACCCATTTGATGACGTCGAGAAATTGTAAAATTCTAAAAAGTTCGCTGTTTAACTTATCGATCAAATAATCCGGAAGTTCGATGCTTTCTTCGACCCATAGAAAAGGTAATAGCGTATCCGGTAAATTTTTCGTTAAGTCGATTTTATTTATTTTTCCCAAAGGAAATGAAAATTGTATTCTTTTTTTCGCATAAAGCGGAGTTCCCGTCATCTTTAAACAAAACCGACAAAAAAAAATGAAAACGACGTGGTGATAATGATGATAATAATTGTAATAATAATAATAGTTTACCGGTTCTATGTCGAAAAAAATACTGTGATTTTCTTCATTTGGACTTAAACCTTTGACACCGTTTAAAAAATCTTCGTGTGAATCGTAAAAATGCGGAAGTGTTGCCACCACCGGAAGTCCTTTGCAAAAAAATTAATTACTACTTATTAACGACATTAAAATAAAACGACACACGCGATTAATATTTTTTTGTTAAATTGAATTTTTCAGGGGGACCAAAAATTTTTAAAAATCGTACCTGAACATTTTAACAATTCCATGGCGCCTTTTTTCCAACAAAACGTATCGTTTATGCATAAACATTTTAATGAAGGATCAGTTGACGTGTCACCAATGGTCACGTTGTACCGAAAAGCCGGTATACCTTTATATTCACTTTTCCTAACGAATTTTGCTGGGATCGACCTGTAAACAAGAGGAGGAATTGTTACTCCCCCCACTCTCCCGCCCCCCACGCTTCTGGTAAAATCAAGGTACATTTACCTGCATAATTCTAAATTAAACGACCATATATCTTGATGTTCGGATATATCGGATGGAAATATGGTACCATCGGTACCTTCTAAATTATTACAAGGTCTCCCTCTCCAATTGGTCAATTTATTTTTTCCATTTGCTCCGATAACTTTTCCGACTTCCGTATAATCTTTAATACCTCGTTTTATTTGTAATTTCAACGGTTCTTCGGTACCATTTTTCTATCCGTGAACGATTAATAATAATAATAATTTATTTCGCATTCGAATCCTCCTCCTCCTCCGTAAAAAAAAAAAAAAATTTGTAATTGTTTGCATACCTGATTCAATATAGAAAATTTAAATACGCTTCGGCTAACGGTTTCCAAAAATGGCGCTTCTTTTTTTAAAACGGCGCAAACGGCGGATGCGGAAAAATCTTTCGTTGTGCAATTAAATATAATACCGCCGAATAATAAATCGTAAACTTTTATTTTTAAAAAAACAGAATCGGGTTTGTTAAACAAAATGGGTATCGCTTTGTTTATCATTGGTAAAACCCCTTTTTTTTCTCTTTCAGCTGCCGTTATTAATCCCTACAAAAATTATTATTATTATTACAGGTACTCACACGATGAAAAGACGTCAAAGAAAAGAGGAAAACACATACGACTAATATTGGATTTGGTATGATAACCATTTCATCACCGGTAAGTGGTAATGTTTTTTCTTTGTTATCAAACCACGTGTTTTTCATGAAAAACGTTATCGAATCATCATTTTCATAATCAATCATTTCCGATTTTTCTTTCCATTCCCTATAACGCACACCAAAAAATTACAAATTTTCCTTTTCTTTAAACAAAATCATATAAACAATACCTACTTGTAATAATAAGGACCGATTTCCTGTAGGTTAGGAATTTTCCCTTCGTTTTGTACTTCCACGTGATTGGTTATATTAAATATGTGAATTTTAAAATCTATCGGAAATGGTATTTTTTCCCAAAATTCTCGTGTTTCAGAACCCGGTGATAAACCTTTAATCTATTATTTAAAAAAAATTTTAATATTTAATGCGAAACAAACAACAAACAAACAAACAGCCAAACAAACAAACACTACTAACTCTTCCGATTTGCATTCTTATCAACCATGGGAAAACACCCCAACCGAATCCTATACCAAAAATTGATATCGTCGTACCGATAATTCCTAATTTTTCTGCCGTTTTCATTTTGTTTAAATCCTGTCGAATGTTCTAGAAGGATAACATAAATGTTGTTAATGACGACAACAACAACAACAACAACACGAATGAATTTTTATAAAACCGATTAAACGTTTCCGAGTTGAAAATTTCCTTTGTGCGAATAACCACACAAACCGAGTTTATTAATAAAAAAACAAAAAAACCGTCGTTATTTAAACACGATTCACCTTTGCCCTTCCCCTTCCCTCCCACTCTTCCCTCTCTCTGTCTCTCTCACCTTTTCTACTGCCTTTTCCCCCCACCTCGCCCTTTCGCATCTGTAATTACAGAACAAATTATTAATTTTCTTTTCTTTTTTTTTAAATAATTTATTAGGGAGTTTGGAAAACCCCTTTCTCCCTTCTCCCTTCTCCCTCCCCTCCACTCCTCCTCCATTCTTCTTCGTTTTTATCCTTCGAATTTTTTTCACGGACTTCGATTTTTTTTTAAAGACGTTCCAGTCTTTGATTAATTAACGAAATTCATTGCTGGAAAAGATAAAATTACCGTATGGGGGGAGGGTGGGAAAGGGAGGGTAGGGGGAGTATCAATTATGTAATTAATGTCAACAATGTCTTTTAAATATTATCATTATCGTTTTTTTTTTCGTAAACGATTTCATTTACAAAAAAAAAAAATTTTCCACGAGACGAAATCGTGACGTCACATTTTTTTAAAATGAAATTCTATTGTTTTCCATTTGGATATCACACGGCGATTATTATTATTATTATTATTGTTTTTTTGTCGATTTAAAATTGACATACATTTTTTTTAAAAATACTTCCAGAGATTTTGTTGTTGTCATCTCTGGAACTGCATTTCACTGGAATTAGTCGCGTGTTAACTGTTCAATTTTATAATGATAATAATAATAATAATGACGAAGGAAGGAAAAGTTCTTAATTTTTTTTACATTATGCATTTAATAAATTTAATATTAAAAAAAAAAAAGTCTGGAACGTTAGCAGAAAGAAGAACACGTCATCGAAGACCTTGAAAAAAACAAATATAAATGAAGGATAAACCTTTCATTTATAAAATTTATTAATTATTTATTATTATTGAAGACTTTAGAAAAAAAAAGGTTAAGAGAAACCTTTCGGGGATACAATAAAATATTTATTATGATAGGAGGGGGGGAAACCGAATAATATTTTTTTGACTTTTCCAGTTAAAATTTTCGATTTATTTTTATTTACTTTGATTTTTTATTATTTTTTTTAAAAAGAAATTATTATTAATATTATTATTATTATTAATATTATTATTATTATTGTTTGATTAATCGAAAAGGTTCGAGTTAGTGATAATGAAAATGATAAGATTGGATTTAAGTTTTGTTTTGTTTTTGAAATGTTGGTACGAATTGTTTGCTATGAGAAATATTAGATCACGTGATGGTTTGAATAATCAAAATGGCGGACGTGTTTGTTTCAAAAAGCAAGTGTTTGAAAATGTAAAATAAATTCAAATGATTTATTAATAATAATAAATTTTATTATATTTATTTATTGTTTTTTTTTTATTTAGTAAAACATTACAATTTTGTTTTTGTAGTGTAAATAGAAAAAAGTAAATTTCAAGACATTTTTTCAAAGGAAAAAATGGTGAAAAAATTATTATTATTATTATTTGTTGTAGATAGATATTGCAATGAATTACTAAAAATGAATTACAACAATATTTTTAATTTTTTTTTTTTAGGAAATATTAATTGTAAGATTTATTTTTTAACGGAAAAATGTTCGTATCCGTGGTAGTGGTGTTTGCCAAGTCCAGAGAAATGGTGGTTTTGGCCGGATAAGAAACTGTAAACGTGAGAGCCGGTGTTGTGTTTTCCAAGAGTGTTGTATCCGTATCCGGTAGCGTATCCACCGCTCAATAAGCTGGCTTTGTTGAAAGGAGAACTGTATCCGGAAAGACCGGAGAATAATCCTTGACCGTATCCTTTATATACGCTAGCACCGACTGGGCTGTATGCACCGAATGAAGCTACTCCTCCGACTGAGTTAACTCCTCCAAAAGAGCTGACACCGACTGGGCTGACAGCACCGACTGATCCGACGGAGTAAGCACTTGGAACGGCACTAGAGTAAGAAACGGCAGCAACTGGGTTAACGGCAAGAGCAACGGGTTGAGTAACGGTGGCTACTGGGGTAACACTGTATTGTTGAGTTACAGCAACTGGTTGTGGAACTGGAACTGGTTGTGGGACTGGTACTGGTTGGGGTACTGGAACTGGAACGGCGTGATGAACTGCGTATGGTTTTGGAACCTAAAGAAATTGTTTAATATTAAAAATTAAATTAAGAGTAAAAAAATTTCATTGTAAGAAATTTTTTGTAAAATACTTACTTCAACTGGGTATGGGGATGGAACTGGAACTGGAACCTTCTTTTCAACTGGTACGGGAACGGCGTGAGGAACTGGAACTGGGTATGGTTTTTCAACTGGTACTGGGACTGGTCTGTCAACTGGGACGGCGTACGGTTGTGGTACAGAAACTGGAACTTCCTTTGGTACTGGTACTGGGTATGGTTGTGGTACTGGAACAGGAACTTGCTTTTCAACTGGAACTGGTACGGCATATGGTTGTGGAACTTCAACTGGGTATGGTCTGTCTACTGGAACAGCATATGGATGTGGTACTGGAACCGGAACTTGCTTTTCTACTTCAACTGGAACTGCAACTGGGTGTGGTACGGGAACAGCAACTTCGTTGGTAACAGTCGTGTGGTATTTGCTTCCGAGATAGTATGGTTCGTAAGCAGGTGCGTAAACTCCAGCAGCAGAAACAGAGTTAAGAGAAACAGTAGAAGTGGCGGGAACGACTCCGGAGACAGCGGATGGAAGACCAGCTGGAACAGCACTTGAGACGGCGGATGGAAGACCAACTGGAAGAGCTCCTGAGACAGCGGATGGAAGACCAACTGGAAGAGCTCCCGAGACAGCGGATGGAAGACCAACTGGAAGAGCACCGCCACCAACAACAGAGCTAGCGACAGCAGGTACACCAACAACAGGAGCAGCAAATGCAGCGTGAGCAGCAGCAGCTTGGACGGCAACAGATTGAGCAGCGTTCCAATCATCAACCCCTACATGGTTACCTACATAATTCCAAAAAAACTTACTTTTACCACCTTCTTCTTCTTCTTCGACCGCCATCTTTTAAGCTCCAAAAAAAAAAAAAATCACTTACCTAATTCTTCATAGAAATATCCGCTTCTCTTATTAACTTTTTTGTCTTCTGGCTTCTTTTCCTCGGCAGCAACGAGAGCCAAAGCACACAAAAACAACTTTAAACAAACAAAAACAAATTTTTACCATTAATTCGACCAACAGGAATCCAACACGCTTATTATTATTATTATTATATAAAATTTACTACTTACGACAAATTTCATTTTTGATTTTTTTTTGCCGACTTGAACTCCGTACTATGAAAGAAGAAGCCAAACGAATGATGGTAAATGACGATTCGACACAGATTATAAACCCTAATTTTTTGTCATTTCGAAAAATCCACCCCCGGGAATTGATTAAGGGATGTAAATTCATTTTACATTTCCTTAGCTTATGCTAGTATACATCATTTCTCTTTTTGTTTTGATTGACGTTTCAAGGACGTTTAACGACATTCATTATGTCCGTTCTGCAACCGCCAAAAACTAATTTCATTTTCTATATTGTCCTCCGAGGGGTAAAATCCTCCTCTCTTGTTAATTTAACTTTTGAATTATTTCACCTTCGAGCAATTCCGTTTATTATTATTATTATTATTATTATTATTAATTTGAAAGAAAAAAATTTTAATTGAATATTATTTTCGTCTGCTTTTAAAAAACAAATTTTTTTTCCTTATTATAATTTCGACGATTTTCCTCTAAGCTATTTTAATAATAATAATGTTTTCTCGAACCTTCCATCTTATTTAAGTTTATTTTGAAACAAACAAACGACGTCTGCATTCGTCGTGTTATCATTTAAAAAAAAAAAATTTCCCTGTTGAATTTGTCTGTTTTTTTCCCCCGAAAACAAACAACAAACAAACAAACAAGTTTTACACACGAAAAAAAACATTTTTTAACGAATACCCGGCAAATTCTATTCGTTTAAGCACGACAAATTGCATACCCAATAATTTTTAAGGCGAACCCTACAAAATTTCATAAAGAAAATTTTTTATTTATTTATCGGCCCGTTTTTATTTGCTATCGTTCGTCATTTTAACATTTAATTTTTTATATTATTTACATAACTTAAAACTATTAATAATTAATTATTAAATCATATTAATAAATTATTTTTTTATGTTAATAAATAGGTCATCCGAAAGTACATATGTAAAATATATTTATTACGAGCGTAAAATTCATTTACGTATTTTTTTTAAAACTATTTATTAATAGTTAATTAAATTGTTTAAAATCCGATAATAATCAACCTTAATTAATAATTAACCTTTTCTTTTCTATAAAAATAATAATAATAATAAAAACGAGTAAATTTTGCAACGATTTTAAAAGGTTACACTCTTTCTTTAATTAATTATACACGACGAAATAGAATAAAAAAAAAAAAAATTCTTTCGATTGACTTTGACCTAATTTCTTTTATTATTATTATTATTATTATTAATATTTAAAACGTTAGAAAAAAGATGTTATGTATATATTTTTAATAATATTTAAACGATATCCTTTTTCGAAATTATTATTATTAATAATAATAATTCCTCGAGGGAAAAATACCCTCAAGTTAAGATTCTCAGGTGTTGTTATTGTGTGCGTGTGTGTGTGTGTTAAATATAATTTAATAATTAAAATAATATGATTTGATTTATTTAAGGCATTTAATTAAAGTATTTCGATAAGGTTACACACATAACAACGTACTGATAACGTTTTTTTTCCTCCATTTTGTTTTTTTTTGACGGTGAAATTTGAATCACAAAAAAAAGAAAAAAAACGCGAGTTTGTTTCAGTTTTTTTTTTCGTTTTAATAATTTATTTATTAATATTCGCGGGTAAATTTTAAAAAAATTGTTCGATTAATCGATTAATCGATCGATCGATATTATAATTATTATACGTTAAATGAATAAAAACAACGGCGAGAGGGATAAACAAAAAAATTTTCGATTAATTCGTTCGGTTTTTCCTTTTTTTATTTAAAAATCATCATTGATGACGTAACAATTACGCCATCATCACGTAAAAAAAAAATTTTTCTTGATTTTAAACCAACCGTGAAATTTTTTTTTTTTTAAATTACCAAATTATGACAAAATTAATCGCTACGACGATGTTTCGTGTTGAACGAAGGAGGAAACAAACAAACAAACAAACAAAATTTCCTTATTATTATTATTATCGAAATAAAAACGAAAATTCCATATCGATGTTATTATCGATGAGTGATAATGATAATAAAAAATTTCGTCGTCCTTGGTCAAAATAGCAAAATGCATTAGTGAAACATTGAAAATTTTCACCCTCTGGCTCGATAGTAACTACCCTTAAATACGGTACTAATTTCGAACGGTCGGTTGTTCAGTTGTGTTTGTTGGGAAAAGACAATATCAACAACAACAAAAAAAAAACGAAAAAAGGAAAACATGAAGTTTTGGGTAAGTTTTCATCATCATCATTACAATCACAACAACCGGCGTAACTACCATCATCATTAACATTTTTTTTTGTTTGTTCATGTGTTTGTTACGAGAAAATCATTATTATTATTTGTTTTGTAATGTTAAATAACTATTGGAGCGTTCATTGTTTAAAAATAAAATTTCGGGGGGTGGCGCAATTCAAAAATTTTTGGTAAAGTTTATAATTTGTTTGTTTGTTTGTTACGCAGGTTGTTTTTTGTTTGTTTGCCTTAGTATCGGGACAAGATGACGTACAAGATCAATCTCAAGAAGTCGAAGCACCGCAAAATAATAACGGACAAAGCAATAACAATAACAACAACAACAATAATCAACCAACGTTGAGTAAGTATTGCGAAGTTTTATTATTATTATTAAGTAAAAGGAAATGATAAAAAGGCGCGCGTTTTTTGTTTGTTTAGCACCACAATCGAATCAACCATTTAATAGTCCAGTTTTTCCCCCTTCACCTTTGAACTTTGGAAATAAGGACGGAGTTAATGGTAATAATAATAATAATCCATTCACCGGATTTTTAACAAACTTTCCACCCGTACAAACGATCGGAACAAATTTTTTCGCAACACAATCTCCAGTACCAAACTTTCCATATGTAACACCAAAACCAGTTCTTCCGGGACCTTCAACCGTCAACAGTGGTAATCTTCCGCAAGGTTTTAACGTACAAACAACCGGACTCGGATCTCCATTTCCACTCTCGCAATATCCAAGTTTTCAAGGAGTTCCCGTGGGAGGATTTAATCCATCTACGACATCAAACGTTGGATTGACTCAATTTTCGGCTCCGACTTATAAATTTCCACAAGATGCTCTCACGAGTTTCGTACCCCAAGGTTCTCAACCTGTCGTCACTTCGAATCCTACCTATCCCGTTTTTCCGGGTTCTTTTCCAACCGTTCCCAACAGCGTTTTTCAAGCTGCTCAAGGTTTGTTGAAACCATCCGTTTCGGGTACTCAACGTCCGACTTTTAACGTACCTAATCTCAATGTCGGAAATCCAACAAACGATGTTACGACCACGGTTTTTAGAACGACCCAATAATTTCTACACCCGTACCCCTTCTTCCTCCCTCCCCCTCCGTGTGAACGGTGAAAACAAACATTATCATTTTTTCTCATCGCAATTAAATCTTTCGTTATCATCAACTTTTTTTCTTCTTCTTATCATTCTACCACCGTTCAGACATTTAAATTTATCGTTCCTTAATAATAATAATACTTATATATATATATATTAATAATTTTAGTTTTTAAACAATAAAAAAAAACAAGTTATTATCATTATTATTATTATTATTATTAATTTTTTCGTCTATTATGTTATGTTATGTTACGTTTAAATAATCAATAAATAATCGAGTTTATTAATTTTATTCATAATATTTTTATTCCGCTATCGTTTTTCTAGTTTTTTTGGAAATTTAACCCCCTCCCCCACCCTCTCTCCCCCCCCAAAAGATTAATAATTAAAACTCGTTTGTTTAAAAATTACGTTTAATTAACGAATTCGTTTTTTCCACGCGTTACGCCAACTAAATAAAAAATGTCCTAAAGGTTTGAAAAAAATTTTTTTTTTTTTTTTTACGAAATTTTGTTTGTGTTTAAAATAAATTAAATTGATACATAATTAAATGTTTGTTGTTTGTTGTTGTTGTTCGATGATGTGAAAAATATTTCGTAACGGTAGTTGTTGTTGTTTCATAAAAAATGATAATAATAAACATAAAGACAAACAAACAAACAAAAAAATATGCGCGCGTTTTCATAATAATCCCCTCTCCTGAAAATTTCAAACTCGGCAATTTGTCATACGTAATTGCACAACCGGTAGAAAATTAATTTTCAAAAAAAAAAATTTAATTTCCAAATAATATTATTATTATTATTATTATTATTATTACGATGATGATGATGATGATGATGATGATTATGATTGTATAGGGAGAAGGATTAAATAATAATAATAATAATAGAAAAATTTCACTTTTTATTGTCAAATTTGGGGGAAAACGAGTTTTTTTTTATTTTTACGTAAGTATAATTCGTTTATACGGGCGCAGGTAGAAAAGTACCTGGAACACGCCCGACGATCTCTTAATATGCAAAAAAAACGAGATATAATAAAATGCGAGGGCGAGTTTTTACTGTCGTCGTCATCTCAAAGAAGAGAGAGAGAGGGAATAATACGATTCGTTAAAAAAAAACTGGAGTAAGGTAGGTAGGGAGTGAAAGTAGGTAGGTAGGTAGGTAATAATAATCGATGAAAAACTAGAATTTTCAGGTAAACATAAATAGAAGTTCCAGATGAAAGTCCAGATGATGTAACGTCTAGTATAACTAGATCACCGCTGTTCAAGCCCGCAAATGATGTGACATTCCTATTAAAAAAAAAAACGATAGAAGTTAAATCGACATGTTTACCAATAATATAACTTCTGGGTGTATATATATGGGAAACAAGTCGTTACATCCGAACGTGGTCCTCAAGCCTCGAGGAAACATTTAAAACTTCTTTTAAATCATTTTTCCCTTTTTCCAATGAAGTCGTTTTGAATATTTAATTTATTATATTTAGTGTTACTAGTTTTTTAGTATTTTCAGATTGAAAGTTGTATCGCAAGTGAGAATCTGGTTTAATTTCTTTTTTTTTTTTTATATATTAAAAGATCCGTAAAGAAGATTAATAAACAAGATGTCGTCTCATCTCGTATTAGAATGTTGTCCTTTATTAACTTTTATTTTCGTTTGTTTTCAAGTTTTTTTTTATTATAACCAGAATTTGTTATTTATAATTGTCACGATGATGATAATGATGATAAAACAGGATTTTATAATAACGTTTTTATTTAAAAAAAAAAAAAATTTACAACTATAATTTTTTATATCACGAACGTATTTTATTTGAGACGGAAGTAGAAAAATTTTTCGTAATCGAAATATACACTTTGAGAGTGAACGTTTAAGCAACCGCAATCCCGTTCGTAATTATTATTATTATTATTATTAATAAATTTTTTCGATTACAAAATAATTTTATTGGGTTGTCAAGTGTATTGTAATTAAAAAAAAAAAAAATTTACGATTCGATAACGATGAGATAATATTATCATCATCGTCGTATGCGTTTACTAAAAGTCAACATTAAATAAAATTACAAAATTTTTTCTTTTTGAAAAAGGGGCAAACGTGGGCCCCTCTCCTCCCCCTCTCATTTATTTTTTTTGTTCTTAATTTATTTTGTAATAATTTTTAATAAAAAAATTAATTACGTAATTTTTTTTTTCTTTTTTTTTAACTTTCAATATTTGAACCATTTGTAATTAAATTTAAAAAAGGAAATAATAATAATAATAATAATAATAATAATAATAATAATAATAATAATAATAATAATAATAATAATAATAATAATAATAATAATAATTACCCTAATTGTTATACATCTTTTTTTTTAAAAAAATGAAATGTAGTAAGAGGTGGCGGGGGTGGTGGTGGTGGTGGCGGTGGCGAAAGGGGGTCTTTTATTTTTCTACGACTTACCACACACACAATTTTGTACCAATAAACAAGGCGTCCCTGATCAACCTTATTGACTATAAAAATCAAATCCCTCGTCGTTCTGGTTTACAAAAGATGATGATGATTATTATTATTATTATCATTATTATTATTAAACTATGGAAAATAAAATAAAAAAATTTCCATAAACTTTTGTCACAGGTCGTTACTAATGCAATACAAAATTTCATAATTTCGGACCATTATTGACCCAAGATTACAAAAAAATAATAATGATAATGATAAAATTAAACGCATCGGTTGCTATTATTATTATTATTCGATACAAAACTTTGTCGAGTTTTTTTTTCCAGATGATTTCTTCCAGAACTTTTCCTTTCTCCATTTTTTTAACGAAAAACGAAAAATTTATGTAGAAGGTTTTTTGTTTAACCTTTTCGTTTAGATTTTTTAAAATAAAAAAAATTATTTCATCGTCGTGTTGTTTTTTTTTTTTTTTAAATGACGCCATAATAATAATTTTCTGGAAGGAATAATAATAATAATAATAATAATAATAATAATAATAATAATAATAATAATAATTTTGCATGTTCGATTGTTGTAAGGGCAAAACTGTCATGAGAGAGTGATTGTTTGACCTCATTTTAACAACATAAACAATTCTTTTTTCTTTTTTGTTCCCACACGTTTAAAATTATCGTTTCGTGTTTTTAATATATCAATTTATTTATTTATTTATTTATAATAACAAAAAATAAATAAATAAATAACGAAATAGAAAAATCTAGAAAACAAGGCACAAAAAAAAAATATATTAAATTTTTTTTTTTTTAACCGGACGTTGTACGCAGAATTTAATATTCACGATCGAATAAAATATTCGTAACGAAATAAAGTCGTAAGGGGCCCCCTCGGGGCCCCTTAAATATTAGGTAACGAATAGAAAAAAATCATTTCAATCACGGGCAACGCCCATTTTTTTTTTTTTTTTTTTTTTACGAAAGATGAGCAAATCTCTTTGGATTTTGTTTGTTTGTTTACTTTTTTGAGAATTGTAATTTGATCCTTTTTAAACGTAAGTTAAACATAAGGGTAACACTTTTTTTAAAATTAAAAATTAAAAGTAAACAAAAGGGGTATTTAAAATTTAAATCCCCTTACGATGTGCGAATTGTAAACATGGAATTTTATTGTTTATACCTTTTATTACGTTTCATGCCTGACGTCGTCTGCTATTTAATTTTTATTTATACATAAAAGAACATAAAAAAAATAAAATAAATTTTTTTTTCGGTATTAAAAAAGAGAAAAAAAAATTATAAAACTTGATTTATCTAGGATGTAAATGTCAAAATTTCGTGAAATTTTTTTTTTTTTTTGCTTTTTCGTTTTTTCGTTTTTTTTTTTCATTTCCGGTTTGTTCGAATTTAAATACTCGTTCGTTCATCGACATAACCCGACAACTTTTTTTTTTCTTCCTTCCAAACGTAATAATAATAATAATAATAAAATTTAATTCACAATCGAAATTTTCTTTTCTTCATTTTTTTTAAAATTACAACTACTCGATAATAATAATGATAATTTATTTGTTTATACGAAAACAAAAGAAATCACGTGTCGTATAGTTAATTTAAAATGATGATGATGATGATAATAATAAAATAATTTTTTATTCGATTGTTTTTTATATTAAAAAAAATTTTTTTTTTATTATTTTTATTACTTCGCTACTACTCCTTTTCATCTTTCTTTTTTGGATTCCTTTCGAAAAAATTGTTATTATTATTATTATTATTATTATTATTATTATTATTATTATTATTATTATTATTATGAACGGTGGTAGGCACTAAACTTAATTTTTTACCTCCGGTAAAAACTTAAAAATCAAACCGGTAACTCCATAAAAAAAAAAAATGTATAAATAAACGAACTCTCAACCCATTAATTTATTAACACACCTGATATACTTTTTTTTAAAATTATTATTATCATTATCATTATCATCATTATCATTTATACCTTTTTTTCGGTTCATCGTGAGAAAGTTAATTTCAATCGTAAAAAATTTCCTTCACTTAAAAAAAAAAAAAAAAAAAATAAAAATAAAAATAATTCGAGTACGTAAAATCACGTCGATCGATCGATTATCATCATCATTATTATTATTATTATTATCATTATTATTATTATCATTATTATTATTATCATTATTATTAACAATAAAATCCGAATTTTCCATTCGCGTATTAATTAACGCCCTGGATTTTTTTTTTTTTAATAAAATAAATTTCACTCCGGTTGACGACGATAATGATAATAAATAAATAATTTAAAGACGTTAATAAAAATAAATAAATGTGATGATTGGTTTTAATTAAATCCCGTTTTCTTCTGCTTTTTAATAATTATTATTATTATTATTATCATCGAACGGTTTTTTTTTTTTCGAAAATTTTCGAAAGTAAAAGTTTTTCATTCATCCAACCAACCATTTTGAATTTATTTTTATTGAAT